CTCACAATTTGCACGATGAGGACCTTTCATGGCTTCTACGTGAACGTCAAACCCAACGAAGTGAAGACCCTAATTCTACTCAGGATCAAAATGGAGATGCGGCTGAAGATTTATCTGCTGAGAATGTCGAGCCCAATGAGACAGTGAATAGTGAGGAACATGTGAACAGAACCAGTGACGGTGCTCAATCGAATGAGTGAGTGCTGGCAATCAAAGAATCTCCAGTCAGCTATCAAAGAGTAGTCAGCTTTGTCTTGCGTTACCTCTTTAAGTCTTCTCACATCAACTCCCAATGGACGATTGATGCACTTCTCTTGTCAGCAGAATCGATGATCGAGGATTGTTCGTGATTTGTCCGCAGAGAAGAGAAATGATTTCTCTTGCTTTTCAAAACCAGAACTGAGTCGTCGCTTGCATGAATAGCAAAAAGAGCTTGAGCGTTGCACTGCGTGTCATTAATCTCGTAACATTTGAATGGTTGTGAAAAAATATGCTATCTTGTGTACGACGTGTCTTTTGGCTTCAGGTCCTGAAATTTGAATGATTATGCTTAATATCCTCTTTTCCATTATTTGTTTTCCATTATTCACTCGTTCTACAATTATACAATTGTTTCGTAGGAACGTATTTCTCTTGCCTGCAGAGTCGAAGATCGGTTCGTCCGTGATTTGGTTGCAGACAAGAGACATAACACACTTTTTTTGTTTCAAAAACAAACAGACATGCAGCAAACAATTATATTTGCAAAATATGCATTTCTTCGTAGAAAGACGTTTAAAACAAGAACTTGGAGCTTGTAGAACCTACAAACATGAGTCCAGCAGATGCCGGTTGCTTGGTCTCTCTAATCAAAAACTTGGAGCTGCAATTATCACTGGGTGACGTGGAGGAACGGTGAAGTTAATGAAAAACATCTCCAATGAGATCACCAGAGAGACTGGAGCCACTACAAAACCACGAAATTCAGTTCGAGCATCATTGAGCAAGAATGTGGACCAAACTAAATTTGGTAGCTTGGCCAATGCCTTCGCAATCATTTTTGTCGAAGTGTTCGAAGTGGGTACTTTGGCTGCCTGCGATTGGGAGATCATCGAAACTGCACTGGAATGCATTGTTGCAGCAAAGCATGTGAGAGACTTCGAGCTCTTGGACTGGGTCCAAGAGGAGGAAGCGAGAAAAGCTAGGGAAGCAGAGGCGCTGAAGGAGAAAGAAAATGCTGAGAAGGCTGAACAGGAGAAACTCAAACAACAGCACATCATGCGTCTGCAAGAGATCAGAGAGGTCAAAAAACAATGCGAACGTGATGAAGCCAAACTTGTGGCGACATGTCGAGAATCTTCCAGCTCGCACTATGTGGATGGAGCTCCCAAACCAGCTGATTTATTCCGAGGAGACACACCCGAGATGAAAAAGCCGAAAAACGACTATCATGCCAAGTTCCAACCCAGATATGAAGTATCTCCAGGAAAGAAAAGGTGGATGAACGGAAAATGGTACAGACCTGAAGAAATTGAATTGTTTGAAAAATGTCGCAGAGAGACGGAAGCAAGAATAGCAGCTAATAGGGCTGCAGCTTTGGCCCGCAGAGATGCCATGGCACAGCAGAAACGATGAGGACAGAAGGATACCACAAAGAGACGGCATATGCTTGAAATGTTTCAAAAGGATTAGTTAGGGGGCTTGATCATGGGATGATCATCTTCTCAGAAGTATTTTCTCAGCATTCGGGCAGAAAAAGAAAGACCGGATTGTAATTCATTTCAATGTTTTACTCATCAGATTGAGAAAAGTGACTCCAATTCTTCATTCTTCCTCGTTCGGCTCAAGGAGATGTTCTGTGCAATTTTTCTTTTATTTGATTCAGGAAATGAAATGCGTACTTAACACAAGATGCAACTATGCGCTTTTATGTTATCAACGATCTCAAGAAGTCGTCCTTTATCATTTCAACTAGAAAGCAGCAGACTGTTTTTATTGGCATTACGCAGCATTGCTCTATTCGCCATGCCACATCTTATGACATCTAAGTTACCAAGCGGCACGCCAGAATCTGCCAGATCATTCATTGGTTTGGTGAAACTCTTGAAGAAGCAGCTTACACTGGAGGATGTACACCAGTTGGCAGTTTTATCCAAGTCCATGAAGGAGGTTACAACAATTTGGCAAAAACTTCTGTCCGACAATGGGAACGTACTGCCTCCAGAGTGGAACGCAGAAGAAGATTTGAGAAATGTGCAACATCGCTGTGATGACACACTCTTCAGTCAGGTTGGGAAAGCTCTAGCAACAGTGTTGACCGAATTGTTGCAGGTGATTGACCTCGACATTGAGAATCTGACTGACATTGTGGAACATCTCGACAACATGTCATCAACCAAGCAGAATTTGAACAATGGTTCAGCACTGGAAAAAAGAAAATTGGAATCTTGTCAGAGCCAAGATGACATTAGACGACAGAGCCTGAAACAGCTGCGGGCACTGCGACAGAAAAGAGAAGCTGTTGAAGACGAAGAAAAACAGATTGAAGCACTCATTGCCGACATTGACAAACGTCAGAACAGTGCTAAGTTCTCCAGTACAGCAGCAAGCAAATTTGCTGAAACTGTTCCCAATAGATGCATTGATTCACAAACTCGTGCTCGAATTTTTATGGAAGAATATCAAAAAAGGAAGCTGAGCATACCAGCCCAGGAATCAACAGAGACAATAAAGATTGGAGATCAGATGTGGAGTCCAACGCAACTGTTCGAAAGATGCAAGCTTTTGAAAGACGAAAAAGATCGAGCTTTTTCTGAAAAAAAAGAACAAGAAAAAAGGTTGCTCCAAGAGACTATTAAAACAAACAGACTAATTGCATTGGCCAAAAAAAAGGCCAGAATATTCCAAGCGCATCTGGATGATACATTTGCTTTTTTCAAATAACGGGGTTATGTACACAATTTCTCGTGTCAATGTGGGTGAGACAATACGTCTGCATCAGATGTAGTTGTCTCTGTATGTTCGACCTGGGGCGTAGAAGAAAAAGAGGTCGTCGACAGTAGAAGTTCATAAGCAATATTTGGCTTGCATGTAATTGGAAATTCTTAGCTTTCTTAGTGTTCTGCTATTCATCAAACCTTGAGTCACGCTTTGTTGATATATTGTTGTGGATTTGTTCTTGAATTAAACCTGAATCATGCAACTTCATGCGCTCACTTTATCACGAACATTTCCGACACATTTCCCCGCCGTCGTTTTTTCGTCTCGAAGGCAGCACGTTCATTTTGCATGTGATTTGTCACGGATGACTTCTGCTAATTCTCGTCACCGTGCATGTTGTCATATGTGGACCTTCACAACGCCACAAGATTATTTGCAGAATGCAGCTGAACGAAAGGATCAGTGTCAGTATGTTCCAGAAGATTTCTCGAGGAACGACATATGTGAAATGTTTCGAACTGCTATGTCGGAACTTGGACACGGCTCCATTCTAGAGCAACTCGTTGTGGTCAAAGAGCCACTACTCAACCATTACGGATTTCAATTTCGTGTTATTTTCAAGACGAAAACTTCTTTTGCGAGTGACGACATTAATACACTGCTTGCCCAAAAAAGGGGATGCCGAGGTTCCATGAGCCATCCTGAGAAAAATTGGCGAAGTCTTGTACAGTATGTTCTGGATTGCAAAACAAAGCGAAAAGAGGTGGCCGAAGACAAGATCCCTTTATTTTGGCCGCACATGTGGCAGACCAAGAGTCAGGTGGTTCAGCAATGGCAGGATCAAGCAATGTCGCATAAACAGTGCACATCGAAACGAGGAAAACCAACCTTGGAGCAGCGACAGCTGAAGAGAAGAAGGACGCTGAAATTTGCGGATTTCGTGGAGATTGCAAAACAAAATGGCATCACCAATGAAAACGAGTTTTGGAAAATTGCTGGCAGAGAAAAAGATGCAGGTAACCATGCCTTGTGGAACTATGGAGGCAAAGTCATCGTCAGCCAGAAAATCTCCAAGATGTTACAAATGAAGAGCGAGTGATTGCGTGCACATTGTCTAGTAATTCAGGCAAGTCCTGTGATCGAATGAAGATCACCATGCATTCTTTTGCACAAACTGCATTGTGAGCGCAAGAAAATTAACGCGCAGCATAGTGAAACAGCATATTTGAAACATTTTGCATAAGCTTAGAACTGAACTATGATCCGTCTTTGCAGCACGGCAGTTCAAACAGAATATCGCATTCACATTCGCATCATCCAGACATATTTATACGATATAATATATATATATACGTCGGAAACAATAATACAAACAGCGATTCTACTGAATTGAAAGAACGTAGATTTCATGTCCTCGTCTCCCTCTGAGCCATATCTGCAGACATCCTTAGTTCCGATTACTCAGAATGAAGAGCAAGCTGCTCAACAAAAGGATGATTCTTCATATGTCCTTTGTCAATACGATTCCTCTGAAAATGAGGAAGAAAAGACTCTGAAAACGGAACACAGATCATGAGTCATGATGTGGACCTTCCCCACACCGAGATCGTATTTGAAAACTTATGAAGAAAGAAAGAAGAAAAATGACTGATTCCAAGAGACATCAGCAGAGAGGAGCTCGAAAAAAACTTTTTGGATGCTTTGAACAAGTGCCAGCTGATGGGGAAATTGAGGCAGATGATAGTGGTTTACGAACCACACAAGAAGCTTATGCCGGATGGCAGTGCACACGAAACGCACTACCACGTTTGTTTCAAGAGGTCTGCAAACTTTGCCCACAAAGGGGTGTCCAACACACTTGCTCAACACTACGGGCTACATGGACACATGTCGTATCCGAGGAAAGGCTGGTACCAAATGGTAAAGTACGTGCTCACAGACTCTGCTGTGAAGCTACCCGTACATTTAGACCCCACTCCATTATTCTGGCCGACAAGAATGACAAAAGAAGACATGCTGAAGAAGATGCAGCTCACCGAAGAGGACTACTTGAAAAAAAGAGCGGAAGAAAATAGGATGCAATGGAAGGAAGAAAGCAACAATGGCGATGGTACACATCAGGACCGATGAAGAAAAAGAAGGAGAGTGCTCGATTTCTCCGAATTTCCGACTACGTCCTACACCACAAAATCACAAACGAACAAGAGTTCTGGGTGTTGGCTTGTAAGGAGAAAGAAGCAGGCAATCCAACTCTGTGGAACTATGGTGGAACGGCGGCTGTGGCCAAACAAATCCAGAAATGCAATAAGGCACACATGGCCCAATTCCGGGACGATGTCTTTTTAGACACCTCGAAAGCTACAAGCAAATATCCATTATCTGCTTTCAACATCCCGGACACAATTCGTGTTTGGATGGAACACTTCAAAGGTGAAATGGCTCTTATCATCCAAGGCGAGGGAGGACTTGGAAAGACAGAAATGGCAAAGGCAATATTGGCCTCAATGGGAAAGTACTTCTTTGTGGACAGTTTGGATACTGTGAAATCATTGCTTTTCACAGGAAAAGAGTCGATTCTTTTCGACGACGTCACACTGCAGAACTTCTCAGTTGACGAGGTGAAGTCATTTCTCGACGTCAAATCGGAAAGAGCCGTGAAATGCCGCCATGAGGATGGTTTTATTCCTGCTGATACTGTCAGAATATTTCTAACAAATTATGAACGGCATACCTTTTTTCCAAGGAAACTGAGAACAAAGATCATTCAAGGGCCATCAACAGAAGAATGATCTGGGTCACAGTGACCGAGAAACTGTTCACGGAATCAGATGGAAAGACTCAAAAAGACAAAGAAAATGAAGTTGGAGTAGAGTGTGAGTCGGAGATTCCGGTAATGGATGATCTGGAAACACTCAAAACAAAACAATCGAGGACTGCAAAGGAACCTTCCTTGAAAAGCCCATTTGATGAAGAATATGAACCTTTGTTAGAAGAATACGACATGTTCGACGGAGATGAGGAAGCTGCAATGTGGATGAATCTTCGGAAGATGCATGCAGAGAATCTCCTGGCAGCTCAAAAGGATTGCCTTTGCTGAGTTTAGGGAAAATCTCGCCTTCCGCAAACAAAGAGCTTGAAGCAAAAATGATGATTGAGAAAGAGACAAAAAGACCCGGAAAAGATGAGACCGCTCACCTTGGAAAAGACACGGTTTCGATTGAGAATCATGAACATGATCGACCTGAACCCCAAAAAAACATCAATCGAGTGAAGTGCATTGCCGAAAACAGTTTCCGACCTTTGGTCAGATACCGGAGAAAGAGCAAGCCGAACCCTCCATGGCACCACTATGAACATCGAAGAAGAGATGTACGATGGGGCACGTCACAGAAGTCATGGTGGCCGTGGCAATCATGAAATGCAAGAGATTTATCATTACGATGTCCATTTGGTTTTGCTCCAAAGCAGGGCTCTTCAACAGCGAGTGATCGGGCTTCAGATCAACACAACTATGGCAGGATTATATATTTGCTATACGATTGGAAATAAAAATCATATGTACAAGCTGTTTGTTTCATCATGTTACCTCTTAGCTGCCCTGCACAATCATTTTGTCTCGTTTTCAACGAGAAATTAATGAATGCTGGGAAAAGCATTTTTGCTTCATTGTAGAATTTACATGAAGCTTAATTAGACAAGGTTTCCGTTTGCACACAGACGGAAGAAACGATCAGAGAGTTGTTCTGCTGTGTCTGCTGAAACATGTTTCGTTTCTTTATCGTGGCTACTGACTCAGAATAAGCTTCTTGCAGAGAATTTCTAGCTTTCATTGCATCTTCTCATAAGGTCTTGTTGATTTCTGTTCGAAGTGCAAGGGAAATGTACTTTTTTTTTGGCTTCAAACAAACGCGTAAACGGTAAACTTAGGGACGAAAGACAAACAGTCCTCATGGTCTTTTCCATCAGATCCAAACAACACATCATCTTGTCCTCGATTCTATTTGCAGTTCGAGCTCAAAAACTTTCGTTACTTGGTCGCAACATGCCAAAACCCGAGGAACTAGATACGGCATGCCTGGTTTATTTGCTGACAGGTCATTTGACGGTATGCATCCACTCAGCTTTCACAGAAACTGCAAATGATGAGTGGAACACTCGGACAATCAATGTCAAACAGTTCCTGGAGAAAGGGAGGCATGTAACGAGGAAGTTGGCAGACAACGATTTGGAAATGTTTTATCATTTCGATTTAGCTTGGACGGATGCAGCTTATTTTTTTCAATCTCTGCTGCACAAGAATGGGAACGTGGATGCTCGCAAATTGAAAAGCAAAGAAACATCATTGCAAAGCAAAAGGAAAGGTACGTTTGCAGAGACAGATTCCAAAATTGCTATGCTAGTTCAGCGACTTACCAATGATGTGACACATGGCATCGGAAAGCAACATCCGAATGACTGGGAGGAAATTGCCAACAAATACATGTGGGCCAACGCTCAGCTCACTCATTTGCCAAATATTCTAGGTTTGGAACAGAGTATGCGTGCATTTCGCCTTTTGACTTTGGAAGCTTCTGAATTTGCATCGTCGCTCCATGATCAGTGGAAAAGAGAAGAAGCACGAAGACACAATCAAGAAGACGAATAGATCGCTCCATTTACCGACGACAATGAAACTGTGATCTGCAGTGATGCTTAGAATCTAAAAAATCCTACGAATATATCTTGGGTATGTTTTTCGGCCCTTACTCAACATTTGTAGAGGCCACGCATTGGCTCAACAAATGGAACCGGATGTGGTCGACTGGTTGGGGTGCGTTGCAATCAAATGGACTACATACAACAAATGTCTGACGTGTGAGCAGTGGTGATGTCTGCAAATCAGTCGTTTTACCCGACATTTTGGTGAATGCATTGTCCGATGTGCGGCAAACATCTTGGTTGCAACCTAGCAGAGGAGACCAGCGCAAAAAAAGGCAGTCATGCTGAGATCGGATTTAAAATCAATGTTATCCGGCAATGGTATTTAAAATCAATGACATGAACGAGGCTGGCTTCAAATGACCATTACTTTCTGTCCTCACCGTGAACGTGCCACGAATGCGTGTTTATGCTTTCGGCTCAATTCTGTTCATTCCTTTTTTGTAAACAGAATAGATCATTTCATGCCACGAAGATATTTCAAGAAGGGCATTAAACAAACACCCATTTCGTAGCTTCATTACATTGAAACAACATGTGATTGGAGAGACCACATGAAAAGACCTAAACTAAGATTGCCTCCAAAATAAATGGCAATGGCATGGGATGCGATGGGTACCACCTTCGATAGTCTCATCGATCCATTGTTCAAGATCAACAGTCTATTGGCACGCTTGCAGGATCTGGAATCAGATCTATTTCAGATACAGGAGGACACACCAGGTTATTTCTTAGAAGCCAATCATGCAATCAAACAGGCTCTGGCGCAAGCACGACAAGCGATTCGGGCAATTGAACAACAGCAACGCAGACATCTGGTTTTTTTTCACGGAAGCCTTGTGCGATACCATACCGATCTTGAAAGATTTCCACCACTTTGCGATCCTCAAGCAGGCTTTTTACACAGCCAGTAGCCAGTGAGAGATTCCGAAGAAGGATGATCTTAGAAATTTCCCAATTAGGAACCTAAGACGATTCTTGGGTGCAATTTGTGCAAAGTCTTAGGCGTTGAGGGAGACATTGAACGCCAAGAGAAAAAGCTCGCACAGTGCATCAGCATTCAAACTGTGTATGCAAGGTTCGGTGAACTTTGTTGCGGAATTGGAGGAAAAAAAAAGGTTTCAATACAATCGTAGAGATGAAAGTTGGTGATAGGGAATGTTCGTGATCCCGTTCGAAAGAAAAGAATGTTCCAGATGCAAGTCGGTGATCGGGACTGTTCGCGATCCGGTTCGTAAAGCATTGATTTCTTTAACCTCCTTTTTTTCAAGGATTTGCATCATAGAGAGTCGCACCGATGAGTTTTATTTTTCAGACATTTGGTGCGACTGAAAGCTGCGATGCTGTCTTGGTACGGTCATTTGGTGCGACTCACAGGTGCGACTTGTGTTTGGTACGGTCATGTGGTGCGACTGAAAGGTGCGACGCTTGTTTGGTACGGTCATGTGGTGCGACTCACAGTTGCGACGGTTTCTGGTTACGGACATTTGGTGCGACCGAAAGGTGCGACGGTGTTTTGGTACGGTCATTTGGTGCGACTCGAAGGTGCACCATTTCTTTGGTACGGTCATTTGGTGCGTCTCACAGGTGCGACGTTTGTTTGGTACGGTCATGTGGTGCGACTGAAAGGTGCGCCGGTTTCTTGGTACGGTCATGTGGTGCGACTGAAAGGTGCGACGGTTTTTTTGCTACGGTCATCTGGTGCGACTGCAAGCTGCGACTCTTCGTCTGCTACGATCATTTCCTGCGACTCAAGGGTGCGACTCTTGACTTGGTACGGTCAAGTGGTGCGAATGCAAGGTGCGACGGTCTTTTGGTACGGTCATGTGGTGCGACTGAAAGATGCGACGGTGTCTTGCGACGGTCATTTGGTGCGACTCACAGGTGCGACGTGTGTTTGGTACGGTCATGTGGTGCGACTGAAAGGTGCGACGCTTGTTTGGTACGGTCATGTGGTGCGACTCACAGTTGCGACGGTTTCTGGTTACGGACATTTGGTGCGACCGAAAGGTGCGACGGTGTTTTGGTACGGTCATTTGGTGCGACTCGAAGGTGCACCATTTCTTTGGTACGGTCATTTGGTGCGTCTCACAGGTGCGACGTTTGTTTGGTACGGTCATGTGGTGCGACTGAAAGGTGCGCCGGTTTCTTGGTACGGTCATGTGGTGCGACTGAAAGGTGCGACGGTTTTTTTGCTACGGTCATCTGGTGCGACTGCAAGCTGCGACTCTTCGTCTGCTACGATCACTTGCTGCGACTCAAGGGTGCGACTCTTGGCTTGGTACGGTCATGTGGTGCGAATGAAAGGTGCGACGGTCTTTTCGTACGGTCATGTGGTGCGACTGAAAGATGCGACGGTGTCTTGCGACGGTCATTTGGTGCGACTCACAGGTGCGACGTGTGTTTGGTACGGTCATGTGGTGCGACTGAAAGGTGCGACGCTTGTTTGGTACGGTCATGTGGTGCGACTCACAGTTGCGACGGTTTCTGGTTACGGACATTTGGTGCGACCGAAAGGTGCGACGGTGTTTTGGTACGGTCATTTGGTGCGACTCGAAGGTGCGATTTCTTTGGTACGGTCATTTGGTGCGTCTCACAGGTGCGACGTTTGTTTGGTACGGTCATGTGGTGCGACTGAAAGGTGCGCCGGTTTCTTGGTACGGTCATGTGGTGCGACTGAAAGGTGCGACGGTTTTTTTGCTACGGTCATCTGGTGCGACTGCAAGCTGCGACTCTTCGTCTGCTACGATCACTTGCTGCGACTCAAGGGTGCGACTCTTGGCTTGGTACGGTCATGTGGTGCGAATGAAAGGTGCGACGGTCTTTTCGTACGGTCATGTGGTGCGACTGAAAGATGCGACGGTGTCTTGCTACGGTCATTTGGTGCGACTCACAGGTGCGACGTGTGTTTGGTACGGTCATGTGGTGCGACTGAAAGGTGCGACGCTTGTTTGGTACGGTCATGTGGTGCGACTCACAGTTGCGACGGTTTCTGGTTACGGACATTTGGTGCGACCGAAAGGTGCGACGGTGTTTTGGTACGGTCATTTGGTGCGACTCGAAGGTGCACGATTTCTTTGGTACGGTCATTTGGTGCGTCTCACAGGTGCGACGTTTGTTTGGTACGGTCATGTGGTGCGACTGAAAGGTGCGCCGGTTTCTTGGTACGGTCATGTGGTGCGACTGAAAGGTGCGACGGTTTTTTTGCTACGGTCATCTGGTGCGACTGCAAGCTGCGACTCTTCGTCTGCTACGATCACTTGCTGCGACTCAAGGGTGCGACTCTTGGCTTGGTACGGTCATGTGGTGCGAATGAAAGGTGCGACGGTCTTTTCGTACGGTCATGTGGTGCGACTGAAAGATGCGACGGTGTCTTGCTACGGTCATTTGGTGCGACTC